TTCCGGGGGCGGGGGCCCGGCGCGCCACCCCCCCCCGGGGCTCCCGGGGGGACGCGCGGCAGCCGAGTGGGGAGGGGACGCAGGCCGAGCCGCCCCCCCAGCCCAAGCCGGCCCCTCCGGTCTTTGTTCAAACGCACACTCCAGTGTTCACCTTGGCAGCAAGGATGTGCCCACGGGAGATGTGCCCCGCCGTGGGCAGGGTGGGGGGCACCGACACCCCCCCAAATAAACCAGTTAGGGAGGCAGAGCACGGGTGAGGTGCAAGGGATGGAGTAAACGCCTCCCCGGAGACCCCCGCCAGCAACATCCCCGGCCGGCCAACGCCAGCGTGGGGCACCTGGGACCTCGGCCGGCTGCGGATGCTCAAGGGGGAGCACATGTGGACGTGCCCCCGCCACGCTGGGCACCCCCGAGGGGCTTCGGGGCTGAGAGACCCCCATCCCCGGGCGCTAGCAGCACCCCGCTAGCAGCACGCTGCAGCCCTGCCGGCGGTTACCACGGATTAATAAGCAAATCCCGTGGATTTGTGGGTTTTTCGGCCCAGCAGCACCAGTGGGGGAGAACGCGACTCGCCGTGCGGCAGGGAGGAGGCCGGCGGCCCTGCCGAAAGCCACGCCGCAGGGAGCTGCTGGGAGCCGCAGTGTTACTAATCACGGCGCAGGAACGCGGGCGATCGATTGCGGTGCAAACGTCGCCGCGCCGGAGCGAGAGACATCCCCTCCAGAGCTGCCTCCCGCGCCTCGGCTTCGAGCTGTCATCTGAAAGCCTGCCCGCCCTCCCCGGCGTGGCAGGGATGCTCCTGCCTCCTTATCATGAAACCCACCCGGGAGCATCCCACGGAGCGAGCGATGCTGAGGATGCTTTTGGAGCCCCGGGGGAGCAGCTCTGCCTCCCCAGGCAGCAACATCCATCTTAGCCTGCTCCCCCCGGGGTTAACTGCTGAAAAACCGGGGTGGCGGCACAAGGGCCGTCACCCCGTGAGGATCCTGGCAGGGCCTCGCTGAGCTCCCCGGGGCTTCCTCCACCCCATCCCTATTGCCACCCTCCCCACTCCCTGCCTTTCCCAGCTGGCCAAGGGGCGATGGGGAAAGGTTTTATCCTGCACAAAAGCTCTCCAGGACGACGGGTCTAGAGCCAGAGGTGGGGGAGCATCTTGGTGGTGGGTGCTGGTGGCATCTGGGGCTGGCAATGAGAGCATCGGGCAGCTCAGAAAGTTGGGGTGCCCAGCTGGCACAGGATGCCCGTCACCATGGGCTGGGGCTGGCAGCTGGGGGCTTTGGGTTGCCCCAGGGCTGACGGCGGGCTCTCTCTTTCTCTCTCTTTTTTGGTGTTGGCCGGGCCATCTCGCCACTGCGCTGCCAGGAGGTGGAGGTGAGCGTGGAGGGGCTGGCGGGGCTGGCCTCGCCCAGGCGGCAGCCCGCTTTGGGGGGAGGCTGCTCCCCGCCCCTGCTTGCTCCCCTCCCGGGGTGTGGGGGGAGTCCCACGTGTGCATGTTTGTGTGTGCGACACACGTGTGCAGGGGGAGCCCCGCCGGGCCGGTGGCCCCAAGCAGGGTGGTGTCACGCCTGGCCCGGTGTCACCTCTCCCGCTCATCCAGGATCACCCCCTTTGCAGGACGACTACATCAAGAGCTGGGAGGACAACCAGCCCAGCGATGAAGGTACTGCTGGGACAGGTTTGGGATGGGGCGCAGGGAGTTCGGTGACAGCTGGCACGGAGCTGGGGACGCTTTCTGCCCGCGCCCCCCAGGCTTTTCCCTTCCGGCTGGGAGCAGCAGCGGGGGTCGGTGCGTGCCGGGAAGCGGCAGCTGGTGCCGAGGCGGCCGCCCAGCTGCAGCCTGAATGGCGCTTTGTGCGGGGCCGAGCCGGTGGGGGTGGGGGGAGGCCACGCCGGGGGCTCAGCACCGTCCCCTCTTGCCCCACGCAGGATCAAGCCGCTGGGTACCAAGGGGCATGGGGGCTGCAAGCCCTGCCACGCCGCCCCGCTCGCCGCTGTCTGCGGCTCCGACGGCCACACCTACAGCTCGGCGGTAAGGACGGTGGCACCTCGCCGCGGGGAGGGGGACGCTGTGCCGTGTCCCCCCACCCACCGACGTCCCGCTGCTGCCCCGCAGTGCAAGCTGGAGCAGCAGGCGTGCTTGGCCAGCAAGCAGCTGACGGTGCGGTGTGAGGGGCAGTGCCCCTGCCCGACCCCGCACAGCCCTGCCGGCGACGGCAAGCAAGGTGAGCGGGATGGGGGGCACCGGGGGGGTGTCCCTGAGCCCTGCCCGGCCTGACACCCCTCTCTGGCACCCCCAGAGCCATGCACCGGGCAGGACCTGGCCGACCTGGGCGACCGCCTGCGTGACTGGTTCCAGCTGCTGCGGGAGAACGCCAAGCAGAACGGCTCCGGCGGC